GTTGTATCACTGATTCATGGTCACACTGCCAATTAGTGTCAGATACAAAACAAAAACAAATCCCTGACCACTGACTACCAATTTATATTCCACTCACCATCATGTCAAAGACTGACTAAAAACTTAATCACTACCTAGAATATATCTCATCAATTCAAAATCAACTAAGAATACCAAATCTTCTCTAAATTTATGTCTTCTAATCTATGCTATCTTAGCAGAGAAATAAGCAATTTTCAAAAATATGAGGAAAATGCTCCTTTAAATCTCTAATAGTTTGCAAGGATGTCAAAAATACTTGATACGATCAAGATGTTACCATTCGGGTAAGCCAGGTTATGGGGACACAGGCCCTCTGCACTATTTTTGCAACTACTTGTGAGTCTATAATTATTTCAAAGTAAACAGTTAAAAAAAAATACATGGCAGTCACCTGATGCCACTCCCTGGGCCCACTCATCTATCACCTCACTATTCTCCAAACTTGCCCAATAAGCCAGAAAATGTTCCAACTGCCTCTCATCCCAAAAGTTCCAAAAAGGGTCGGTGCAACAAATAAATCACAGTTGTTGCACCAAGGGAAACCTACTCCTTGGTTAGCACAATGTTTGAAGGTGAGAAGCACACAAACATTTACGGAACAAGGAAGACCAATCTAATACCATGGTCAAACTCTGTGCTGGCAACACAGGGCAAATATTTGCACAGGCTAAACTTCGACTACCTCTCCTACCAGTCTTTCCAAGTCTGCTAGTGGTCCGGACCAGGTTCACTCTCCGCACTGAACTGTAACCCTATGAGTACTGACATGTGTTTTTGTTTTCCTAAAGCTACCCTCTCGGGTGTCTTATAGTTGTAGGGAGGACCTATTATGTGTATAACTGTACTCAAACTTTTTAAAAATTTCATTTGTAGAAAAAAAAACCAATGTACTCTAATGTTGAGGAGCAGGATAATACCTTACTCTCAAGCAATAGCTATAGCAGCAGTAGTCGGAGGGGAAAAGGAAGGCTGCAGGCAGTAAGGGCTAGGCAAACAGAGCTCTGACGGCTGTCATCAGTTATTTTAATTTAAAGACAAAGGAATGTGAGCAGGAGCCTTTCATAAAGTAATGCTTAAGCTTTTGTGCTCCTGATGATGGTGGTCCACTTAGACACTATGAAAAACACTACTTACTCAGAAAAGCCACAAATGTTTTTACTACAATTTGGTTATGTTACTCTTATAAAAATTCAATGTTGTCAGAAAAACTCCATCTCACAAAAAAAAATCATTAAAAAAAAAAACCACACCCAAAAAACACATGCTATCACCCCTCAAGAATGTCCCAGAATTCATCAAATGATCAAATCTTCATGAAAACTGAAAAAGCTTTTTACATTTCCAAAGAGTCTTCTAAGGAGTCAAGAGGTCCTAGAGAAAAAAAGAAAAAGAAAAAAAAAAAAATACCCTAGCCCCTCCACTCAAAAGAGTTTTGTGAAACCAGAAACATTCTGGAATGATATGGGGTGACTGCTAAGCACATACAACTCCTGTGTCTGGGTGCAGGTGCTGTGTGCATTCTTCAGTAGCCTCCAGCTCTCTGGAGTGGCAGAAAGATGAGCAGCTGTTGCCAAGAAAATCAGCCCACACGTCATCTCTGACCTATAGACCTTGGGCTGCCAACCTGCCCAGGGGAAGACACCCGGTCCTGGTTTTGCGTCCCTTCAGAAGTGACAGAAACCTAACAAGGAATCAGGAGGAACACGTGGCCGTAATTTGGATTCATCCCTTGCTGGTGACTGCAGGAGGCAAATAAAAAGTAGTTCCTATACTTCCTCCCCGAAGAGGAACCGCGGAAAGGAAAGAGCACACTGTCCACAGCATCACTGCCCCTCCCTTACTCTCCATCTACACATAATAATCAGAACACCTGATAAGAAGGAAAACACAATCACTTATGGGATTTCTGACAGGAGATGAAGACTTCAGGTTAAACACCACTAGAAACACAAGCATGCTAAGAAAATGTTTAAACCTGCTTAGTTTACAATTTAAGACCAATCACTTGATTGCTTCCTTTAAAGACAAAACAGATTTCCTACATGCAGATGAGGATACAGAGCAATATATGGACTAGTTCAAATTACTTCTGGACAAGAAACAAAGCCATTCTTACAAAATAAGAAAACAGACATTGAGCTGCAAAAGCCCAATACCTCTCCCCACAAAGCCCCATAGAGAACTCTGTTTTCCTAATTTAGATATTAAAATAACCCTACCATACTGTCTCTGCTTTCTTAATGGTCTTCCTATTAACTTCCTAATCTTAAATTTGGCCTTTTCTTAAGGCTTAAAACATCAGTCATCCCCCACTTCTCACATCAAAGCTAGCAGACTGTCACAAAACATCTTAAATGAATCTCCACCACGCCAAGTAAGAAGGTCTCGAGCCGCTCACACACAGGCCATCTCTGGAGTTTCGATCATCTGTGAGGAAGCTCTAGTATCTGAGTTCACATAAAGATCTGGAACACCTTGTCACCTGAATTGTGAAACAGCAGACTCATGCTGGAGCAGATCCAGTTTTTTAAAATGGTAGATCTCAATACTTTTTCTTCTGAATCACAAAAAAATGGAGCCTGAACTGATAGGGAAGGAAATAAAAAAATCTATCTATTCATTCAATCCACAGTGCTCCCTACACTGGACTTATCTCCACTGTCATAGCTCTGTATGCAATCTAGAATACCATCAATACTAATGGATTCTAAAATATCATTGTTTTATATAGACAAGTATTTTTTTAATTAACACACAAACTTGCTGTAAGAACAATGTAGATTTCAGGGTGCCTGGATGACTCAGTCAAACATCTGACTCTTGATCTCAGCTCAGGTCTTGATCTCAGGGTCATGAGTTCAAGCCCCATATTGGGCCCCATGCTGGGCATGAAGCCTACTTAAAAAAAAGAAAGAGAAAGAAAGAGAGAAAGAGAGAAAGAGAGAGAGAGAGAGAGAGAGAGAGAAAGAAAGAAAGAAAGAAAGAAAGAAAGCAAGAAAGAAAAGAGATGTAGGTTTCTTACAATAACTAGCTTTCTTGTATGAAAAATATTTTAACATACTAAAGTCAAAAAAACTTCAAGTACATAAAATTTTTACCCAGGATGATTACAACTTTATAAAAACAAACAAAAATCTCTATGTACAGAAAAAGAGACTAGAAAGCCACCAAAATGTTAACACTGGTAGCACCATTGATCTACCAATGCAAAGAAAGAGAGACGAGAAAGAGAGAATTGCAAGCAAGGATAGCTGATAGCTATCTACTGATAGCACGGAACCCAACTCGGGGCTCAATCCCGCATGAGCCAAAATCAAGAGTCAGACGCTTAACCAGCTGAGCCATCCAGGCTCCCCACTATTAGACTTTTTACACTGATTTTCTATATTTTCCATATCTTCTGCAACAATGTTTTTTACAACAATTTTTTACAATAAATAAATAAAAACTAAGGAAGAGGCAGAAACTGAAAGCAACCCAAATTTACACCAGCAAAAAAACAGATTTGTGAAACTGTGGCACATCCAAACAATGAAATACTACCACTAATACAAAAGGAAAAAAACTACTACAGGCTACATGAGCTAAACAGAAGATGCCACACACTATTCCATTTCTACAAAATTCTAAAGAAGGCAAAATTACAGTTAGAGAATATAGAACAGCATTTTTCATGGGTGGGAACAAGACAGGGGACTAAGAATGCAAAGGGGCACTAGAGAACTTTTTGGGGTGATGGAAATGTTCCATTTTCTTGATTATGGTGGTTACACAGCTGTAAACCTTTGTCGAAACTCATCAAACTGCACATTTCAAATGGGTGAGTTATACTGTATGTCAGTTATACTTCAATAAAGCCAATTTACAAGTTAAAAGTAGAGAAGGTTGAAAGCACTTCATTAAGGTAAATGATACCATCAGAAACTAAACAAATGACATTACTTTTGCCACACAGGCAAGACAAATGTGTCTTCTTTACCCTTAAAATAACATTAAAATTTAACACCTTATTTAATATCCTGAAAAAACAATGAGACTGTCACAAAACAGTTATCTAAGAACTCACCATAATTCTCATTTTCAAGAGGTTTATAACCACAACATTGATTCAATCAAGAAGTATGAAATACTATGAAATATGAAACAGAATAATTTCTTATAGCCAAGTTCAACTTATTAAGTCTCACTTCTATACATTAACTTAGAAGAACATTGCAAAGTTCCACATGACTTAATATTATTCCTCAGTGTGCCCTGCAGAAAATCGCTCAAGTTTAATTTCAAGAATCTCATTACATAACCATTACGAGTGACTGCTAATACAATGCTACCACGGGAGGTTATGAAGTGCCAGCATCAAGCTACAAGGAACCTTAAGATTCCCAGTGTGGGGGCGCCTGGGTGGCGCAGTCGGTTAAGCGTCCGACTTCAGCCAGGTCACGATCTCGCGGTCCGTGAGTTCGAGCCCCGCGTCGGGCTCTGGGCTGATGGCTCAGAGCCTGGAGCCTGTTTCCGACTCTGTGTCTCCCTCTCTCTCTGCCCCTCCCCCGTTCATGCTCTGTCTCTCTCTGTCCCAAAAATAAATAAACGTTGGAAAAAAAAAAAAAAAAAGATTCCCAGTGTGATACTACCCCTCCTTCTAAGGCTACAATCCACACAAATATTGTCTTATTCTTAAAAATGTCAAAGTTTGGAGCGCATGGCTGGCTTAGTCGGTGGGGCATGTGACTCTTGATCTTGGGGCTGTGAGTTCGAGTTTAAGTACTTAAATAAAAATTTAAGTAAATTTTATTAAAAATAAAATCTTTACAAAAAATGTCAAATATTGTAACTTGTTACAACCCATTTGGTTTTATCGTGTAAAACTGTCAATGAAAAACAAGCATTTATGGGGCACCTGGGTGGCGCAGTCGGTTAAACATCGGACTCTTGATTTCAGATCATGATCTCAGAGCTCGGGAGTTCAAGCCCCACATCGGGCTCTGCACCAATGCTGCAGAGCATGCTTGGGATTCTGTCTCCCCTTTTCTCTGACCCTCCCCGACTTGCGCTCTCTCTCTAAATGAATAAACTTTTAAAAAAAGAAAAAGAAGCATTTATGTGCCAATAGAAAAATCTAAACAAATTGAATTTTAATATTAAGGAATTGTTTTCGGTGTGTGGGTGTTTTTAAAGTCTTCATCTTTGAGGGGCACCTGGTTGGCTCAGTGGTTAAGGTTCCGACTTCAGCTCAGGTCATGATCTCAAGGCTCCTGAGTTCAAGCCCCACATGGGGCTCTGTGTGGACAGCTCAGAGCCTGGAGCCTGCTTTCAGATGCTGTTGCCCTTCCCTGCTTGTGCTCTCTCTCTCTCTCTCTCTCAAAAATAAATGAACATTAAAAAAAATTTTAAAGCCTTCATCTTTGAGATTCATACTGAAGATATTATCGATTAAATTATCTGATGGAGAGAGTGTTGAAACCAAACTGGCCACGGATTTGGTAAGTGCTAAGATTATGTGATAACTGTTATACACGTGTGTTCATCATCCTATTGCCTCTACTTCTGTATATGCTTGAAATTCTCCATAATATGAAGATTAAAAATAATTTTCAGAGTAAAAGTTAAAAATCAAGTATAATAA